TCCAGCTGCAAGAAGAGTTTCATCAAAACAAATATTTAGTGTTAAAGCATTTTAAAGTGGCTTTACATTTATAGTCGTCTTACAAGTTAGGGATACATGTCGGAGCTCAATTGAAACAGAAATGGGAGTACAACACAGTGCAAAAGCAGCACACATTTACACCACAGGAATACAATACATTTATAACAAAAAATACATTTACAAAAAAATAGTTTACAATAAGGCCAGCAGTATTTTGTAAATATATTTTTTGTAAATGTGTTTTTTTGTAAATATATTGTATTCCTGTGGTGTAATTTTGTACTGGTTTTGCACTGTGTTGTGCTGGCTTTCTGTATAGTGTTACAGCTGTCTGTGTATTCCCTGCTTCTGTCGTAGACCTGCCCAGGTGTGCTGCCTGGCATGGAGGAGGTGGTTAAGAGCTCCTCTGCCAGCAGCAGAGGAGAGAGGCCTCTGGTGCGGATTTGTGTTTTAAAGGTGTTCATGTGATTATTTTTGGTCAGTGTTGGAGTTTTTGTTCACACCATAGGGCCGCCTAAGGGTGGGGTGTAACAATAGCTACATGTGCTATCACATGATCTGTTAGACAACAACCACTGGTTGTGTACATCTAGAGGTGTGTCTCCTTGTCCTGTTCATGCCTGATGAGGAACTGGTGCCTGAAACATGTGATGATACGATTAAAATTTCCTAAAGGAGCTGTTTCTGTTGTGCGGACGTATTTTTTTAATTTGCTGTTCTGTCCAGCACCCTGTATTTATCGTTTTTGGATGTGCGTGCTGTTTTTCGAGTCTTCACTTTTCTAAGAAACCCTGTATGTCACACTTATCATGAGTTGATAGAGCATTGGTTTTGTGACAAAAAGTAAAATTCCCATATTTTAAAGATGTAAAGAAAGAAGCAAATTTCCAAAGTCTGTATCCTTCCTTTGACAATCTTTTTGCGCTCAGGTTACGTCTGGCCTCGTTTGATAACCGTGGAAAGCTGGTCTGCAGTCGCTCAACAGGTTACCAGCTTCTAACTCTGGAGAAAGACCAGGTTAGTGAGCATTGTAAACCTGTAGATGTAGACAACTCACTTGTCGTGCCATTACCTTGTATAAGATGCTGTTCTTGACTTGCCTTTCCCTTCAATGACTCAGGAGTACGTGGTGATGAACCTGGACAGCCGGTTGTTAACATTCCCCCTCTACGTGTGCTGTAACTTCCTGTATACGTCGCCTCAGTCGGACCACCGTCCAGAGTCTTCAGAACAAGAGAGCACGACTCGCATCGTGTCTTGATGCCTGTTCATCAGCCATTAACTGCTGCTCCCTCTGGTAATGCTGGGACACTGACACAAGCTTGTACGTACAATCCACCACCACATTTAACATCACTTTGACATTGGACATACCATCTGCATGCTATGTAACCCAGTGAGGTGTTTAGGGAAACGTTTTGTATCGGTGTATTCAATGTTTTGGCACATCAAGAGTTGGCTACACATACAAGGGGCTTACAGTGTGACAGAGACACTGGCCAAGAGGGATTAGGCCACCTTTGGACCTCTGCCATGAACTGTCTGCACTGGGATGTTGGACCATTTCTCAAGATGGAAAAACCCCAAGTCACTCATGGCAGTGGAGCCACTCTGGAATCTATTTCTCGATATATATGGGCGCATTATTACCTGGGAATATGGGAACATCATGAGGGAACAGCTCCAGAGAGTGAAACTGGACCTTTGCTGACTTGTATGGGAAGTTTCAAGTCTGACGCTTGTTCTGACCATATGTAAATCGACTGTGGGATGTGTTCAGAGGTGTGGCCCTTCGCTACACAAAAACTCACCTGTCGTTTGCACTGACTTGAATCGACGCCTCTGTGCAGCACGCACACAAAATACCATGTATACCAACAGTGTTGTAAACTATATAGACACATTTCACATGACTTGTTGTTGCTGAAGATACTGAACAATCGCCGCCAACACTTTGCAGCTGTAAAGAGAGTTAATTAAAGATGGACACAGCATCACCAGCTGATAGAGATTCAACTTCATACCTGCTGCCACACACCACCTGTACTCCACTGAAGCTGCTTTTGTCCGCCCTTGCAGCTATCTGAAAAGTTGGACGGTCAAATGATTGATACAAACAACAGACATCACTTCTGAATTGTGGAAAACTATTTAAAAGATGCAGTAAAAGCAGTAGTTGCAGTCATCACTGTTTGACTGGAGGTCCATCTCGCCATATCTCTGTGCTAACCTACGCCAGAGCAGTTTCTGATTGGAAAGTCCACCACCTCTTCTGTAAACTAGACAAAACAACATCACCATTTTCAGATCATATCCAGTATCAAGTACTTTGTAAATAATATTTACTGCAATATTCATGTTATAGAACAACATTACATTCAAGTGATAAAGTCAGTAAAGTCACAAAGCCCAAGTAACCACGCTGATGTTACCTACATCTATGTAAACCTGCATCGTGAGGTCAAAAATCCAAAATCTTATTTCCATTGAGACACAAGCCTTCAGGAGTTTTTGTACATTAGCCTCATTGTTACAGCTTATACTCAGACGTTTGATCATTGACACCAGCTTTCTTATGTTCACAGCGTAATGTTGAAACTCACAGAAATGTTGACAGACGTCAGATTTTGGGACGATCTGTCGTGTTTACCAGCTACGCTGTCAAATGTCCGTTTACTGGTGTTAACTGGGGTCAGCGACTCCTGTTCGGCAGTGCCGTTGGTCCCTGTTTGACACGTTTAGGAAGAATATTTAGTCGGGTTGTGTAATGGCAGGAATCTGGTGAAACAATATGGCTGAAGAGAGATTATAGCGCTGAAGGATCTAGCTGTTGGGGGTTTAAACCTGATGCAAAATGAAGCACTGCCACAAACCTTTGCATGTAAACTGTTAACTAAAAGTCAATACAGTGTTTTTGAGAGTTCATACAGTATCAAAAAAACATGTAATCATAATGTTCAAGTGTACAGATCATTTCTTACACCCCTAATATTTAGACTTCTCCCACCACCACATGAAGTACCATTGCAGTTACATTGTTGTACACTTTTATACTTCTGATTAGGTCGTTATTTGTTTGGCAGTTATGGAAATCTGTTACCTCATGCTGTTTTGAAAACCTGTACCGAGGACGTCAGTACAACTCGCCTGTAAAGCTGTAGCTATAACTGTCATGAAGTTCAGAGTTTATGGTGTTTTTTCATTTGGTTTTTATTTATTTTTTACTTCATTTGTATGGATTTATTTTTGCAAAAGGAAATATGTATACAAGTCTTGACAGCCAATAAAACTGCCCGTTCACATGGGCTGTGGTGCTATCACATGATGTTTTTCCGGTGTATGTCTTTACAACAGCTGCACAATTATACATGTATATACGCTTGTGTACATATTAAAAAAGTTCTTCCTTCTGTGATAAACCTGATTTCTGTCTTAGTGATGTTCATGGAGACACAGCAACAAATTAGACAAAGATGTCCATCAGTTTTATTCTCTTAATGTCACATTTATCAGACGATCACTGACAAACTCCAGCCATTCCTACCCAACATCTTCTCTGCAAAATGGTCCAGATTTAGCTCAATGTCCTCAGTTCAGTGAGAGCAACAGCAAATATTTATCAGGAGTGAAAAAGATTGGATGAATCCCAGCAGATATTAGGCTCAGCTATGATTTTAAAAAATATTTCTTACAGTCATCAATATACTAGCTGTCTTTATGTTTTTAGGGAAAAAAATGAGAACACCTAAGAGCTTTCTTTCTATTTATGTGAGTTTGGAGAGGATGTTTTAATCAAGACTAGCCTCTTAAAGTCTATCACTTGTTATTCTACACTGATAAAATGTAAGGGACCTAAAATTGTCTTGAGAAATCACACAGAACACCGATCAGCCAAAACATTAAAACCCACTGGCCGGGGAAGTGAATGACCTGTTCTGTGGGATACCCTGTGTCCTGGCATTGATGCGGATGCCACTTGACATGCACCACCTACCCTAAAACCGTTACAGACCAAGTACATTTTCTCGTGGCAACAGCACTCCTCACTGGCAGAGGCCCACAAGCAGGACAATGCACCATGCCATACCACCAGAACTGCTCAGGAATGGCCCAAGGAACGTGACAAGGAGCTTAAGGTGACAACCTGACCTTCAAATGCCCAGATCCCAATCTGGTTGAGCTTCTGTAGGATATGCCGGTACCCCACCTCACAAACTACAGAACTCGAAGGATCTGCTGCCAATGCTATGGCTCCAGACACCTCAGGACACCCTCAAAGGTCCTGGGTCCATGCCTCACCAAGTCTGATCTACAGTGGGGCCTCTGTCCTGTTGAGATATGTACACAGGAACTCTGAGGTAGTGGCATATCCCACAGATGCCTCATCAGATTGGGATCTGGGAAACTTGGAGGCCAGGTCAATGCCTTGAGCTTGTGATCACGCTCCTCGGGCCATTCTTGATTAGTTTTTGTGGTGTCACATGGTGCATTGTCCTGCTGGAGGGGCCACTGCCATCAGGGGGGTACTGGGTCTGTAACAATGTTTGGGGTCAGTGGAGCATGTCAAGTTGTATCCACACGAAAGCCAGGATCAAAAGTTTCCCCAGAAGATTGCTTTGTGAAGAAATTATCAATGTTATTCACTTCACCTGTCAGTGGCTGGTCGATGTTGCTGTCTCACACCCAGTGTTGTTGGCTGGACTTTTCTTTGTAATTGTTCTCAGAAATGATGCCATAGTTTCCTTAATAATGTGGATATCATTACAAATATATTCTAAATGAAAGCAGTCAGTAAATGGATGTGTGGTTTATATCAGATCTACAGTGTTGCCTTTCTTGTACAGTTGTTTATTTAATTGAGATTTTTTGCAGACACTAAAATATATAGGAAAAGCATCACCGGTATTTTTCACTGCAGTGTCTCAATAGTTTCAAGCAGTGCTCATGTTATTATAGAAGTAATGCAGTCCAAAACCAGGTACATCTACAGTACTTTTAATTCAGATATATAATAAACATATCTCACCATGAAGAGTCAGACAGTCACACAACAACTCAACAATAATAAAATGACAAAAAAAAGAAGAATGAGGGACGAGAGGGCTCATACAAGAGAGAAAAAGGACATTCAGACCTTAGATAGATTCACATTTCAATTGCATGGTGTACTTTGTATTTTAAAATGTGATACTCAGACATGCACACTTCTCTTCACAGCATGTTTGAGCTGTTACCTTGTTCACGCACATCAGATGCATCACTGGATTTATTTTTGTTGTTGCTGATAAACCAAGAGCTAATGAAACTCTCCAGAGAGGTAATTGTTTGTAGATTACACAGAACAATCTCACACTGGGCAGTTTTAAACACCAACATTCAGTGTCACAGCCTCTAAAACTTGTCAAGACTCATCCATTTTAAAACTCCACTCTCTCCACCTTTTCATGGTGTTCCACCCCTCTATTCTTCAGGTGTTACTGGTCAAACTGGTTGGGTTAACTGACCATGTGCTGCTGTATGTGCGTGTAATGACCTCAGGCTGAGTCTCCGTGACAGACTATAGCTTCTCACTGCTGTATAGAGTCCAAATTCTCTTTGAGTCGTCGGGTCATGCTGGGGATCAGGTTCACGTGGTCGTCCACACAGCTGCCCACGCAGCGGTCCATCAGTGATCGAACAGCTGGCTCCTTGGCGCCGGAGTCAAAAAGATCCTTTGCCTTGTCGTTGCAGTGCATCGTGCATCTGGTCAGACGGTCCTGGGGGGGCAGAGAGGAGAGATGGTTTAGACTTACCAAAAGCAGACAAGAGAGGCATCCCAGTGGGCATGGTTTGAGATTCACAGGCAGGTACAAATTTAGAAAGTAAAGATTTTTAGCATCTAACCAGCGATGGTGGAAATTTAAAACTTGTCCTTTTTGATAATTTAATACTTCAGTGCAAATGCGGTTGAAATATGGGGGAAATTAAACAAATACATCCCTTAAAGGCTCATACAAATAAAAATGTTACATCATAAATGTGAAATTCTGGCAAATGTTGACTATTTAATGGTGCCAATATGATGTAACGCCTTGGATAAGTCATGGAAAAAGCCTGTTCTTGAACAAGTATCATGTTGCCCTGGTTAACTCATTCTTTATGCCTGAAAATATCTATAAAAAATTAAGTTGTTACATGGATGCATGATAAGATCAGCATGTCATTTGTAGGGGCCCATATTGGCTTTAAAAGGAAATATCTGAATTGGCCAACATGCTGAGAATATCGGCACCTCATTGGCAGTGGTGTAAAGTGGTTACAACAGGTCCCAGTGCACGCTATTATGACGGGCCCAACAGTATATGCTATCATGCACATATCGTCTTGTGCCATGATCAGAGACTTGATATTGGCTAACATTAACATACATATTACCCAGCAATCATCACTGCATATCTGCATACCACAAAACAATACCTAAGAAATAAAAATTTAAATTTTTTTGGATAGCTTATTTCGTTCAAACCCAGGGTGGGGGAGCCCCTCTGTGCAGAGTTTGCATGTGCTCCCTGTGTCAGTGTGGGTTTTCTCCAGATACTCCAGCTTCCTCCCACGGTCCAAAGACATGCAGGTTAATTGATAACTCTAAATTGTCCGTAGGTGTGAGTGTGAATGGTTGTCTGTCTCTATGTGTCAGCCCTGTGATAGTGTGGTGACCTGTCCAGGGTGTACCCTGCCTCTTGCCCTATGTCAGCTGGGATAGGCTCCAGCCCCCCATGACCCCCAACAGGATAAGTGTCTACAGAAAATACATGAATGAATATAATTTTGTTACAGATGCTCTTTACTACTTTACAGGAAAAAATTCCAATATACATCTCTAGTTGTTACATCATTACCTTGAATCATATATATTACATACATATACAGATCCAGCGCAATTTGCAAAACATTTAGGACTGAAGCCTCGGACGCCCAGGCCAAATGACACCATTATTGCATGCTGACTTTATTGGAAATCTGGAAAATGTGACTCTGAAATTCCATGACTTTTCCTGAGTTTCCATGACCTTGACCTTGACCCGTTTATATTTTTACAGATTTTGAGGTTTAGTCTATTTTTCCAGCAAACACTGGAGGGGTGGACCCAGAAGACAATAATGTTTGGACTGCATATTCTCCTAAGAACCTAAAGTGACAGAAGTGGATGCATGTGAATGATGTCATACAGGTTGTGTGACAGGAAACATGTTTCTTAAAGTAGGGCTTTGATGCATAAGCAAAAGAAGGGAGGTATTCTTTTGAACTGTCTCTCACCTGAAACTTCTCCAGCTCTGAGGTAACCAGTCCCTGAGCTTTGGCCAGAGGGGTGTGACACCTCTCGATGCACTGATGCACCACAGTCATGGAGTCTGTGGAGCGTTCACAGCACTCTGCGCTGCACCTGAACATGCGACCCTGCAGCAACAACACACAGGTAACACGTGGGGAACACAGGTGCTGCACAGGTTAGACAGGTAGAAACACAAAGCACTGCATGCACAGCTAATGTTTATACGGCTAAGACACCTGCCTGCATCACACGGATGTGATCCCTCTCCAGGCTTTGGACCATTTCTTCCACCACAGTGTGCACGCGTGCCTGATGTGCCTCCGCCATCTCTGTCCGTCCTGCTCACTCCGACAAGTCTTCACTGATATTTAAGATTCAAGTTTAGCATTTAAATCAGCCCGGACGGACGTGATATACCCGCGGTGTCCCCTTCAAGTTCCTTTACTTTACACTTTTATTGTAACTAAGGTCACCTCCATTCAAGCATGGTTCAAGCTGAGTACTCGTGCGTCACTTCCGCTTAACTTCCGCAACCGGTTTTAGAAAAAAAAATCCTCTTCCGGTTTGAGTGGTCCGACTTCAAAATTGATTTCCAAGATATTACTCAACAGGTTTTTTTTTAAGGCCAGGGGTGTGACAAGGATCTTCTTAGATCAGACCTCTATGGGAGAGTCCGGGGGGGATTCTCCCACGGGATTAATTATATTATTCATTTATTTATTTTGATGAAGTAGCTCTATTTTGTTGCTTTTTTTATGCACCCTGGCATCTCATTTACCCTTAAAACTTTTTTTTTTTTTTACTTTTATGAATTGTGTGATGTTAAAAATATCTGGTTATAAAATAAAATTATATAAAAATTATATAAAAATTATAAAATTATAAAATTAATTCACTAGAGTTGGAAAAATAGTCAAATGTATGTATTTATGTTAACAGTGGTGGAACTACAAACATTTATTTTGGTACAAATATGAACAGACCGACAGATTATTTGATCTGGGGCTTTGTATTATTAGTAGACCTACCTTTATTTCTGAAACATATATATAACCTAAACGTATGGATCCGCCGCTTTTTGTAAAACATTTTGGGTTGACACCAAGGCCTAACGATGCCACCATTGCAGACTGACGTTATTGGAAATCATATTTTCTTAGAATTTATTCATCTTTTTGTGAGAGGAGAGGGGTGATGCAGAAAGGTGGAGGCATGTCTATTTTTTTTAAGCACTGGGGAGGGACTTAAGTTTTTTTCTACATTTCTTTGCAGTCCCTTACTTTAAAAAAAAATACATGTCACATTTTATCTTGTTAAAGGTTAATTATATTATGATCTTCTCCATCTGGAGACAAATTGCCCTCATTATTCAGGAAATTAAATTTTTGCGTGCCTTTATTGTGAAACTCAGACGTCGTCGTATCCGGAAGTGTGTTTCAACATCAAGAGACGTTCACGGCACCCCGACATGTTTCAACCTTTGAACAAGTTTAGTTAGTTGTTTACACCTCTAGTCTTGTAGTGGCTTTTGTTGACAGTCCAGTTTGCTGTTTAAGTACACAGAGGGAAATTTAAACGAGCTCTCAATCTGTGTTGAAGTGTTACGGTGAAGATATCTGTGAAGGCTACCTCTGGACCAGCCCTCCTACAGTGACTTTTTATACAGTGAGTCCAAACCGTTCACTGTGACACTGAACTGTTTCTCTTTATAACGTCTCTAAATATTAAACATTACAGTGTTAGCTTCGGCTGTGTGATAAGTTATGTTACTATTTCCTGTGTTATTCTTTGAGTCTGAATTCCACCTAGCGTAACCTTTGACCAAGACTGAGAGGCACTGTTGCATTCAGGTTCACAGCGGAACTGACCATGGCTCATGTTTGTTCCTCCTGAGCAGATGCTACGTCGTGCAGTGAAGGACTAGACGCCCACAATGAATCCACAAACACTGTCACTGAGAGCGGTGCTGTTCCTGGGGCTTTTCCACACTGGGAGACGAAGTCTAGCCTCGGCCCCAGAGCTGCTAGAGCAACCCAAAAAGATAGGTAAGTTTGCCCCAGGGTGCGTTCCAATACCAAAACATACTCCTCCTTTCTATACCTACTTCCTCTATTTGGTCTGATGCATCCATTTTATGATATCTGCCTCACTGGTAGACAGGCGTCCTGCCTGGGGTGCTAAAGTTATAGGGGTCATGTTACTTCATCTCATTTATTTTATTTATAGGGACAACACTAAATAACATCTCTGTAAATGTGCCAGTGTTAGTCAGATGGCTTATTTTCAACTGCGGTCTGGTAAGATGATTTGAAACCTATGATAATATTATATTTCTGTGGGGGAGACCTCACCGTGACCTTACCCAGAATACAACTGTGTCCGGGGACACTCTTTATACAGTATGTGAGCTCAAAGAAATGGCATTTGCTGTAAAATCTGACAGACAGCCTATGATTTGCTAAAAAACATCATCATAATAATAATAATAAATTTTATTTATATTGCACCTTTCATACAATAAAATCAGTATTAACTGCTTTACAATGAGGGCATTATAAGCACTGAAAATAAACACATAAAACAGGCCAACATGGCAGTTCAATATAAAAGGACATTTGAAAAATTTTCATTCAAAAGCGATGGTGATCTGAGATCATATCAATCGACATCTCAGAGAGTATTTCTCCTTGTGTCACCTTTTAGGCCTCTGACGTCAGCAACAGTCAGAGTCTGTAATTCCCAACAGACACAGACTGACTAATAGATACTGATTAACTGAAATAAGCTTCTCTCAGCTTGCCTCAGAACGCCTTCCCAAGACGTCACTGTGGGTTTGTCTGTGCCGGATGCAGCCCTCTTCTGCCCCTGAATCCACCACCCAGTTGTGGCGCTGTGGATCAAAAAGAACTCAAAACAGTCTTTCTTCCTCATATAAAGGCAGAAAATTATAAAACCATAAATCATAAAATCAAGTAAGATACAACATTTTAAAAGAACTGCAGCAACGTGAAGTACAAGAAGAGTTTCAGACCTGCGTCAGAGCTAGTTAAAGGTCAGAGTGAACAGGTGCATTTTTATCTTTCTTTTAAAAATATTTAGTGAGCTGGTATCTCTGATATCCCCCATTTTCTTTCTGCTGTTACTGGGAACCTCCAGTAAACCAGCAGAGGATAATCACATTGTTCTTGGAGGCAAATAATTAACAAGGGACTTAGTAAAGTAGCTAGGTCTGAGCTCATTTAGGGCTTTGTATACAAGGAGGAGGAGCTTTAAATTAATGCTAAATGTAACAGGAAGCCAGTTTAAACCAGATAAGACTGGACTGATGTGCGTTCAACTCTTGGTTGTGGTTAATAACAGACTACAGAGTTTTGAATGAGCTGATGGAATATTTTTCTTGGTTTGATCAATAAAATACTAGACACTGGTCTGATGATTTAATTGAATAAGGATGTTAGTAGGTCACTTCTAAGAAGATCAGTGACTGTAGAAGTGTTTTGTCATTCTTTCTTAAGTTTCTGACTTTTCACTGGGGTAGACAGTATAAGGCAGTATTTGTGTAAAAAAAACATAGTAGCTGAGCTACTGGTGATAGAAATCATTGTAGCATGTATTGCGTTGTCTAGCCTGCAATGCTGTGTTTCTAATATGCAGTTAGCCTGTTCAGATAAGTCTTGCTGAGTTTAAATACTAATGCCCCATAGAATAATGAATGAATAGGAAAAAGCGCCCTTCTAGCTGGAAGACCTGAGGACACTTGCTGCTTCAGATACCGACACATCAGTGGGCTGAACTGAGACGATATCCTCGATAAAATCATGTGGCTAATAACTGCTTTTGTTATTGGAAGAAGTCATCTCAGGATAAAGTTATACTCCCAAACATAGAGGCATTTGTCTTCTTCACTACTCCTGTGATGTTATCCCCACCACTCACAGTTGCCATGTTTCTCGCCTACAATGGTTGTTCCATCAGTAGAGGCTGACCTCTGTACATGTTGCCTGCATACAGCATCTCTGTAGCTGTTAAAGAGAAAGAGTAGCATCTGTATTTTTGAAGGTATTGAAAATCATACCTTTGGGATTTCTAAATATGCCATTATACTGCAATATCTTGATACGGCCCAAGCCTACTTTTAGGATGATATCTACATTACCAAAACCATGTGGCCTTCTTAATCAGTTACTTGATCAATTCTGGTGATAGATTAATCACTTTAAGTTATTTATTAAGCAAAAATGGCAAACATTTGTGTATACCAGTTTCTTAAATGTGAGGATTTTTTGTTTTCTTTGTTTTAAATTATTGTAAATGTCTGGGGTTTTGACTGTTGTTTGGTTTAAAAAAGGAGGTTCAAAATGTCTCCTTGAGCTCTGGTAAAGTATGATGGACATTTTGTATATTCTTTATATAAAAATAGATTAATCTATGATGGAAATCAATTGTTAGTTGCAGCTGCAGTACAAATTTTTTAAAAGGACTCTTAAAAAAAGTTGTATGTAAGATGTGTCTATTGTAAGTATCACACAAAAGTAAAGCTGCAGGTGTCAATTGAAATAAAACTGGGGAAATTTCATCCTGTAAATGTTCATATGAATGGACAATATTATCTCAAGAGAATAATTCCAAACGAGCGTGTTACGAAGTTCTTTCACAGTGTTGTCATTGCTCCTGTAAAGCTGTGGTCGGAGCAGGCATCGGTGGCACAGCTGCAGCGTTTTACCTGAGGCAGGAGTTTGGACCTGGGGTGAAGATCGATGTGTTTGAACCTGGCACTGTTGGTGGACGACTTGCGACAGTGAAGATTGGAGATGATGAGTATGAGACAGGAGGTTCAGTGATCCATCCTCTGAATCTACACATGAAGCAATTCATTGAAAAATTAGGTAACATATCCTCAGTTAAACAGACTCAGCACAGATTTATGAATGATTGAAACCATTATTGGTTTGTAGTCTTGATATCTGAAACTTTTTTTTTTTTTTCAGGTATTCCTCCGAGGAAAGATGTCCCCTCTAAAATGGCGATCTTTGATGGGAAGGAGCTCATGTTTGAGGAGAGTGACTGGTTCATAGTAAACTTCTTGCGTATGCTCTGGAGATACGGGTTCAGCTTTCTCCGAATGCATATGTGGGTGGAGAGTATTTTGGACAAATTTATGAGGTGAGGAGGAAGAATAGTTGACATGGCCTCTCAATATCAACACAGAATTGCTGTTCCTTTTTTTGTTGCATGTCTTAATGATCATGTAAATCCTTGAATTCACAGGATCTACCAGTATCAGCAGTATGGTTACTCTTTCTCCACTGTGGATAAACTCCTTCATGCCATGGGTGGCGATAGTTTTCTTACCCTGGTGAATCAGACCCTGGAGGAAACAATGATTGGCGAGGGATTTTCGCAGACCTTCATCAACGATATTGTCGCACCCATCACGCGTGTCAACTATGGCCAAAGTGTCCGCATCCATGGCTTTGTGGGTATGTTTGTGGGTATAGTTCATCGCATATCTCAAGGTTTGTGTTGTAAAA